GATCAAAAACAGGTAATAATTAATTACGCAACAACTTTTCGTTCCATCTCTTACAGTTCTTCAATTTCATTAACAGCATGAAATTGAAGATAGAAGTAATAACGAATCAAAACCCAAAACTTATTTCGTCGTTCAGAATGCGACATTAAATGTATGATTACTGCTTAAAACATGTAAATAGAGATAAGTAAATAACTACTTGTTACTTAAATTACTTAAAATATTCAATATGATATTGTTTTGTGCACTGACATTTTTGTGATTTTCACATTACTTAACTACAAAATAGTATAATAGATTTACTGATTGCAAAAATGCATGTTTTGACATGAATTTTTCAGATAACAGAAAGTATATTTGTTATTATCCCGGGTGTACTGTGATCGCGACAAATTACAACGAATATATAACACATAGGAAAGCACATGGTCAACCTCTCATCTATGAATGCAGAGTGCCCGGTTGTGGGAGGACATTCAACCATGATTCATCATTTCGCAGTCACAAGGAAACGCATGAACGTCATCGTCAATGCGAGTGCTGCGGCAAATTCTTCACCACCAGGAAGGGACTGCAATATCATACGATGAGTTGCAAAAGAAAACCTCGTTAGTTTGCAAATTCAGCAAAATTTTAAACATATGTGAGTCTGAAATGGAGTGCCTATGAAATGTATTATGGAACATCTGTGACTGCTGCACCGAGATACTTGATACAACGGAAAATTCGCAATTACATTTTGTTGCAAAGCTGTTGAAAAGACTTAAATTTATACTGCCATTTATATCCACTTCTTTTAGAGATAGCATACCTTCTAGCAGAAATTCCTTGAGAAAGTTAACCGTGAGCTTTGTTGTATATATCAGACATTGTAACTCTTTTTATAAGTAAGGCACTGCATCGCAGTGGTCTTCATGAGCATGCGTAATTATTATTCCAAGCAAATCTTTCTTCTCTTGAGCAATAAAACTTACATCAGCAATTAATAACTGGCATAGTTTCATCTGCAAAACCGATACCAAGGTCAGTCGTAATTCACTTGCCTTGATAATGATACAGGTTAACATTCATCTCAGTTCTATCCACCCCTCCAAGAAATAAAAATTCTTTAAATGTTTATGATATAAAAATGTTTATAATCACTAATTTTAAATTATTAAAATGGAGGGTAGCAAAACTTCGGCTTTAAATAAAGGAGTTTGTTACTTCCAATAACCCTAAGGAGAAAAAGAAAGAAAAAGAAATTTAGCTACCCTACTTACCAAAACTTATATCCAATGCAAGGCCGATATTTATATATACTGGAAAATAATTAAGCAATTTCTTGTGATATAAATTACTTAAAATGGAATGTATTTCATTGAAGTAATATTTCTATGGTTTATTAGATCACTTAATTAGAACAAATATCTTAATAGTTTTTTAGATAAAGGAAGCTATGAATGCCTCTACCCCGGGTGTGCTGTGATCGCGATGAATTACAACGAATATGTAACACATAAGAAAACACACGGTCAACCTTTCATCTATGAATGCAGAGTGCCCGGTTGTGGACGGACATTTGACCATGACTCATCATTTCGCAATCACAAGGAAACGCATGAACCTAATCCTCAATGCGAGGGCTGTGGCAGATTCTTCACTAGTAGAAATACACTAACTAGACATAAGGAGAGCTGCCAAGCGATATCTCGTTAGTTTGCAAATTTGGCACATTTCAAACAGATATATCAGTCTGAAATAGAATGCACGTGAAATGTGTTATGAAAATGCTAAGTGACAATGTGTAACTATACGCGAAGATAATTAAACAGCTTCTTGTGATCTAAATTATTTGAAATGGAATGTAGTAAGATTATTTCATTGAAGTAATATTTTAGCTGCCAAACCCATAATAAAATACCAACTGCAAAAACAAATATCATAAGAATTTTTTAGATAAACGAAGCTACGAATGCCTCTACCCCGGGTGTGCTGTGATCGCGAAAAGTTACAAAGAATATATAACACATAGGAAAACACATGGTCAGCCCTTCATCTATGAATGCAGAGTGCCCGGTTGTGGGAGGACATTTGACTATGATTCAACATTTTTCAATCACAAGCAAACGCATGAGCCTCATCCTCAATGCGAGGGTTGTGGCAGATTCTTCACCACCAGGAATGCACTGAAATCTCACAAGAAGAACTGCCAAACAAAATCTCGTTAGTTTGCAAATTTAGCACAATTTTAAAAGCATATGTCAACCTGAAATAGCATGCATGTGAAATGTGTTGCGAAACATTTGTAACCGCTGAGTGACAATACAAAGTTTATTTAATGCATTCATTAAATACTGCATATTTATTTCTTTTCATATCGTGCACTTAATGCGTAGCAGCTGTCTATGACCTAGGAACCAATTGCTTAAAAATATGTTGACGATGGTGACAATAAAGCTTTAAGATACATTAACAAACACTTAAAATATCAACGAAGAAAGAAATAAAAAAAACACTTTTAGTCGAATTATTTTGTTTTTCTAAACGAAAAACATGCAGAAAAATATATCATTCCGCCCACAAAGCCAAATCATTTTTTCAGCGCTATAAAACAACTAAAAATTTTCATTCTAGAAAATGAGACACAATTTGGACATTCTTCGCAAACATGAGAAAAGGCGTATAGCAATCAGACGTTTTCGAGACATCAGAATGCAGTGACCGATTAATGATTTATTTTTTTTCTCCATTTATTATTCCATGAATATCACAGAAATACATAAACAACAAACTGACAGTAAAATTCGAATTCACAGCAAACGATTTGTCATACAAAAAGGTAATAAAAAATACGTAAGTGAGAGGAAAGTATTCTCCTAATAATATATAACAAAACTGGAGAATATGAGGTGTTTTAAGCAGCGAAAGTTAAGATAGATTTTTAGCTTATTTTTTATAATTGTTGATTATTAATTAACTACTAAGTTCAATAGGAAAAAGCTGTTGAATTTTATTTTATTTGCATTGTACTTGCTTTGCTCACATTCTGTCGTGCATATTTGACAACTTATGCAAAAAAAAAAAGTTTAATAAATTCATTTTGGAGCAATCTTACAATATAAAAATTAATAATATTTGTAAATTGTGATGATTTCAATTAATTTTTGACGCTAAATTAATTTTAGTCACAAATTTCGATATGGATCTCTAGGAAATTTAACAGTTTCTAAGAGTTTTTGTGAATTTAATACTGAAAAATTTTTAAATCTGTTAGATTCTGTTTTAATTAAATGCCAAAAATGTTAGAAAAAATGTAATCATTTAAAAATAAATATATTTTAAACTTAATTGGTTATTTAATTTACATTCTCCCTGATCTACACACATTCCATCGGGGATATTTGACAATTTATACAAAGAAAAAAGTTTATAAAATTCACTTTGAAGCAGTTTTTTAATGATGAAATTAAAAAAAATCTGCATTAGTGATGATTTTAATTTTTTTTGACATTAAAATTAATTTTTTTTACAAATTTAATGTCATTTAATGTTACAGATTTAGTGTTCGATTATTTGCATAATGAATTTGATAAATTTTATGGTCCTTGAATAGTAGTAAAGTCGAAATTTCATTGAATTATGGAAGAAATATGGATTTTTTATACATTTTGCTTTAAAATCGACATGTTCTTCTAGTTTTTGGAAAGTTTTTCACCCCAATATAATCATAAAAACAATTAAATATCAATTATAAATGGTTGAACGATAAATAAATCATATAACACAATGTTTATTAACCTAAATCAAGAGAAAAATCAATGGAATAATACATATTTCTATCAAAAAAAAAAAATGAATTTGACTATTAATTTTAACTATTACGATGTATGATAGTAAAATTACATCAGCACAGGCACTTTAAAAAAACATGTGTTCATGATTTAACCGTTCTTGTAAAACAACACGGTATTTATTTTTTAATAGTTGGCCATATAACTAAGGACAGATAAATAGCAGGACCAAAAACTTTAGAAGGTATGGTGGACGTAATGCTTACTGTATTTTGATGATGAAAACAGCAATCATTGCCGTATTTTGCATGTTATAAAAATAGATTTGGTTTTACAAATGAAGTGGTATTTTGAAATGTCTGAAGCTGGATTATTACCTATTGAAATCCATCATCATTATTTGGTAACAGGTAATGCTGACGATAGAGAATTTGTTGACACTTGTAGGAATTGAGGATTCCAGACCGGTTTTGATGGAAGTTCAAGTGTTAACAACGGAATAAACGTGGAAAATCCAAGAAGAGTAGTAATTGGATGAAATATCAACCGATTGGCTATTATCATTGCAGTGCTAAATGCTCGTTGCAAAAGTCTCTGCATAAAAAAGAAATGTATCTGAACATTGGATGAGGGTTGAAAATACAAGAACCATCGGTTCATGTCTCTCTCTTATTTCAAGCATAGTAAGTTTACCGCTGTCAACTTCAATAACAGCACGTGAAATTGCACTTTTAGGTAAGATTGAACATATCTCATATGCTAATCTGAGGATAAAGAAGCAAAAAAATTTTGAAAAAGCAATTATGCCTCAAAATGGCAATTACTCCTCTCATCATATCGAAATAATTAAGCTTGGCCACATAAAAGAATAAAGGGGATCTTTAATCACAGTCAATAGCACTTTAGGAAATTCTTTGCTAGTGAACTCCCTCAAGTCCTCACCTTTCTAGAGCATGTAACTTTATAACTTTCTACAAGTCCAATCACCACTCCCCCCTTAGCAGTACCATCTAGCTTTGTTATAATAATTAATCCTGTAACTAACTAACTAACCATTTTACTAAATGCCTCTAATTAGCTACAAACATTTTGAGCGGTATTCGCATCGAGAACCAAAATAAATTATGAGGAGCAGTGCCATCCAAGTTCTTTATCGTTCTATATATCTTTGATAAGTCCTCCATAACATTAACATTACTCTGCAGCCTGCCTGCTCTATCAGAACAGTCAATCAGAACAACATCTATGCTATCTTTTTAGCTTAACTTACTGCTCTACACGCCACACTTGCAGAATCGTTTACCGTACTCTCAAATAACAACAAAGCAATCAGAACGTCCTGTCCACATGTTTAACTGTCACTAGCAGCAGCCCTAGACGTGTCATACGTAACGAGCATCACGGATTAATCTTATATCTATACGCAAGCGTTAGCAATAGCTGTGATTGACTTTACCATTACCATTACCACTACACATACCACCATTATTATATGTGGTTTTTTGTCTAAAATTTATCGTTTCTACTTCGTTCATTAGCTGCTGTGTGATAATAATATTATGCTCAACTTCTTTATCAAATTTGATCTTGCGAACCTATCAATAATCAACTTGCAAGTTTTATGACCAATATCCTTACTAATGACCAATTCCTCTAATTCATCCAAAAGCGATTGATCTAACTTTTTTTTTTGTCAGAAAAAGTACTTTTTACTCCACCACGGAAGCGAGAAGTTTAAAGGCTACTAAACAAGTTCAAGGAAATACTCCTTTTAAAATTACAATATAAAGAATAATATGCACTACGTGTATTTGTAAAGTTAAATACAACGTTTTACGTGTTGCATTTTTAAAGTGAAGTGCATTTAATTTCTAATCTAAATATGTTATAAAACAGGATTTTGATTTACAGGTGATCTCATGAGTTATAATGAGAGGATTTTGGGCCATTATCAACCTCAGTTTTGTCGCAATACCCAGCTAAAGACTCATTTATATATTTATTATCAACAATCTCATATATACACAGCAAACCAGACCTATGATCAGGTAATCCCCCAATGTACATGTACATACCTGAATGATTCTTTACAGTATCATGACCTCTTAAGATTTTTATTGAATCAGCGTTATATAGTTTCTACGTCCCATACAACTGTTCTATTTATGAATGTTAATATTATATTGTATACAATTTAATAACATTAACTTATTAGAGAAAAATTCTACACTTTCACACCACCACCCTTGATACGGGGCCAGGGTAGAAGGGATCGAAAACTTGCACAGCAACACAGAAAACCGCTGCCTTAGCACTTGAATTGATGATAATACCCTTACACCACCACATAAATAGCGGTAAAATCAGAAACGCCTGCACGAAATTTGCAGACATTATGCAAGCAAAATTATAAATTCCCTGCCATCTTTAAATTCATGCAAGAAACATGTAATAAAAGACCATACAGCAGGTGAAATAAACTTTAATAACCACTGAGCAATTTTAAGTAACGTGTCAAGAATGCAGAAAATAGCTTGTTTCCCTTTTGATATCCGTTTTATCATTTTTTTACAATTGAAATTGCTCATTCAAATAATATTGTAGAAAAAAATTTTACCGCAAAACAAAGATAATCATTGCTCGGATATATTACCGTAAGAAAATGTCGCATAATTTCAAAATAATTGTATTTCATAATGAAAATTCAATTTTAATTCATATTTTATCTCAAATTCATTGTCAAAATTAGTTAAAAATGACACATAAACTTAACATTGGAAGTATGAAAGCTTAAATAATAAAATAAACCATAATAATTTTCAAAATATTGATTTTTATGAAAATCCTACAATTTGCAAGAATTTTTGTATATTAGACTAGGAAAAAAATTGTAGTATTATCAAATTTCATTCTAATTAAGTGTTAAAACTTTCAAAAAATATCAATTCATTAAAAAAAAGTATTTGTTAAACTTAATTGACTATTTAATATGCATTGCACCGGAACTGTCATTAGGGTGTGGTCATTTGTCGTGAAACCTCAAACTTGGGTAATTAAACCTTTATTTAACATGAAGCAAATAATAGCGCTTTATACATATCGTACGGATGCTACACCGTTTAACAAACGCGTAAACTATAAAAAATGCAATAATATAAAAATGGTGAAATAACACAAAATTATAAAGTATTAGATGCATCCCAATACCACCCAAAACATAAAGCAAATGATGGTTATGGAAGGATTGGTTGGGTTATATATAAGACTGATTTAACGAATGGAGATTAGATGGGAGGATTTCTCATGGATGAACAAAGAAGATTGTTAACAAGATTAGTTTATATACAGAACTGAACTGACCAGATATTCGGCAGAGGAGGACATTTAAATGATATGAAACAAAGACTGCTAATAAAGGGTTTTGCTAACGAAGAGTTTGCTAACAAAGGGTTTTTGTTGTGTGAGGAAAAGGAATTAGATAAGAGGAATTTGTTAGTTTTGGATATAATAATTTAAATATTTCGTCTTTCACGACATCATTTGACAGCTCAAAATAATAAAATAAACTTTTACAATTAAGTTTTGCCCAATGTTTCATCAGCAAAATTAATAAAATTTTTAATTTGTCATGCTTTTTTAATTCATTTTTACGATTAAAAGTGATTTTTATTCCAAATTTAGAAATTGATTTTTGTGAAAATCCTATTAATTGTTAAAGTTTTTGCACAGTAAACCGGGTAAAAAGTCCTTATATTATCAAATTTTATTTTAATTAAATGTAAAAACTATTAAAAAGTATCAATTCATCAAAAAAAAAAAAAAAATTATTTTGAACTTAATTGATAAATTTATATGCATTGTATAGGTATTGGTCATTTACGGTGTGGTCAAATGCAACATAAATAATAAAATAAACTTTAATAATTAGGTTTTAAGCACTATTTCAGTTGTGAAATTAATAAAATTTTTAATTAGTCAGAGATTTAATTCATTGTTGCAATCAAATTAATTTTCATTTCAAATTTAAGTATCGAAATTTATGAAAATCTTATAATTTGTAAGAGTTTTTGCATATTAAACGAAGGAATAATTTCTAGTTTTATCAATTTCGATTTTAATTAAATGTTAAAATATTAAAAAAAATCAATCGATTAAAAAAATTAGATAATTTGAACTTAATTGATTGTTTTTTATGCATCGCATGGGTACTGGTCACATACATTGTGGTCATTTGATCAACACAAATAATAAAATAAACTTTAAAAATTAAGTTTTAATCAATATTTTATTAGCAAAATTAATTAAATTTTAACTAAACGATTTTAATTCATTCTTACAATTAAAATTAATTTATATTTCAAATTTAAATAATACATTTACAAAAATCCCATAATTTATACGGGTATTTGCATATAAAACTAGCTAAGAAGTTCTACTATTATCAAAATTTAATTTCAAAGGATGTTAAAACTATTAAAAAATATCATTTAATAAAAAAAAAAATGATTATTATATACGCATAGTGCGGGAACTGGTCACATACATTGTGGTCATTTGACATCTTAAATAATAAAATAATGCTTAGGCTTAGGCTTAGGGTATATTTAGGCTTAGGCTTAAGCATTATTTCAAATCTAAAAATTGATTTTGGTGAAAATTTTATAATTTGCAAGAGCTTTTGTATATTAAAGGGAGAAGAAATCTCTAGTTTTTTTCAATTTTGATTTTAATTAAATGTTAAAACAATTAAAAAATATCAATTCCTTAAAAAAAATTAGTTATTTTGAACTCAGTTGATTAATTTTATGCGTTGCATACGTAATAAGAAAATAAACTTTAATAACTAAGTTTTTTTTTAATATTTGAGAGGTGAAATTAATAAGATTTTTAATTTGTCGTAGATTTAATTCATTTCTGCAGCTAAAATTAGTTTTTGTTTGAAATTTTAAGATCGAATTTTATGAAAATTTTATGATTTGCAATGAATCAAAGCCTTTTTTGTATATTAGACTACGAAATAATTTCTAGTAATATCAAATTTTACTTTAATTAAATGTCAAAACTGTTAAAAAAATATATATTTTCATTAAAAAAAGTCAGATATTTCGAGCTTAATTGATCAATTTATATGCATTGCATAGGTACTGGTTATTTACGACTGGTCATTTGATCGGCATAAATAATTAAATAATCATTCAAAATTAGGTTTTAAACAATGTTTAATTTGCAAAATTATTTAAATTTTTAACTTGCCACTGTTCTAACTCATTCTTACAATTGAAATTAATTTTTATTTCAAATCTAAATATCAAATTTTATGAAAATTCAATAATTTGTTAGGGTTTTGTATACTAAACTATAAAATAAATATAAAACTAAACTATAAAATAAATATAAAACTACTAAACTATAAAATAAACTATAAAATAAATTGTCAAAATTTAATTTAATTAAATGTTAGAAGATCAATTCATAAAAAAAAAATTAGATAATTTGAACTTAATTGATTATTTTTTATTCATTTCATGGATACTGGTCATTTACGGTTGGTCATTTGGTCAGCATAAATAATTAAATAAACTTTGAAAATTAAGTTTTAATCAATATTTGATTAGCGAAATTGATTAAATTTTTAATTTATCACGGTTTTAATTCATTCTTACAATTGAAATTAATTTTTACTTCAAATCTAAATATCAAATTTTATGAATATTCAATAATTTGTTAGGGTTTTGTATATTAAACTATAAAATAAATTCTAGCAATATCAAAAAATCATTTTAATTAAATGCTAAAATATTTAAAAATATCAATTCCTTAAAACAAATTGATATTTTGAGCTTAATTGATTAATTTATAAGCGTTGCATAAGTACTGGTCATTTACGATGTGTCAATTGGCAACATAAATAATAAAATAAGCTTTAATAATTAAGTTTTAATCAATATTTGATTAGCAAAATTGATTAAATTTTTAGTTTGTCACGGTTCTAATTTATTTTTACAATTAAAATTAATTTTTATTTCAAATTTAAATATTAAATTTTATGAAAACTCAATAATTTATTAGTGCTTTGCGTATTAAACTATAAAATAAATGCTGGAATTGTCAAAATTTAATTTAATTAAATGTTAGAATATTGAAAAATATCAATTCATAAAAAAAAAAAATAGATAATTTGAACTTAATTGATTATTTTTTATTCATTTCATGGATACTGGTCATTTGGTCAGCATAAATAATAAAATAATCATTCAAAATTATGCTTTAAACAATGTATTATTTGCAAAATTATTTAAATTTTTAACTTGCCACTGTTCTAACTCATTCTTACAATTGAAATTAATATTTATTTCAAATCTAAATATCAAATTTTATGAAAATTCAATAATTTGTTAGGGTTTTGTATACTAAACTACAAAATAGATGCCGGAATTGTCAAAATTTAATTTAATTAAATGTTAGAATATTGAAAAATATCAATTCATAAAAAAAAAATTAGATAATTTGAACTTAATTGATTAATTTTTATTCATTTCATGGATACTGGTCATTTACGGTTGGTCATTTGGTCAGCATAAATAATTAAAGTTTAAAGTTTTGATTGAAATTTCACTTGTTAAAATAATAAAATTTTTAATTAGTCATAGAACTAACTCATTTTTACAATTAATGCTAATTTTTAATTCAAATTTAAAATTGATTTTTGTGAAAATCCTATAATTTGTAAGGTTTTTTGCGTAATAAACTGGGAAATGTTAGGGTTTTGTATATTAAACTATAAAATAAATGCCGGAATTGTCAAAATTTAATTTAATTAAATGTTAGAATATTGAAAAATATCAATTCATAAAAAAAAAATTAGATAGTTGGAACTTAATTGATTATTTTTTATTCATTTCATGGATACTGGTCATTTGGTCAGCATAAATAATAAAATAATCATTCAAAATTATGCTTTAAACAATGTATTATTTGCAAAATTATTTAAATTTTTAACTTGCCACTGTTCTAATTCATTCTTACAATTGAAATTAATTTTTATTTCAAATCTAAATATCAAATTTTATTAAAATTCAATAATTTGTTAGGTTTTTGTGTACTAAACTATAAAATAAATATAAAACTAAACTATGAAATAAATATAAAACTACTAAACTATAAAATAAACTATAAAATAAATTGTCAAAATTTAATTTAATTAAATGTCAGAATATTGAAAAATATCAATTCATAAAAAAAATTAGATAATTTGAACTTAATGATTAATTTATAAGCGTTCTATAGTACTGGTCATTTATGGTGTGGTCATTTGACCAACATTAATAATAAAATAAACTTTAATAATTAAGTTTTAAGTTTTTTCATTTCATAGTTTAATATACAAAAACTTTCAAAAATTATACAATTTTCTTAAATTATGGTATTTAAATTTGGAAAAAAATTAATATAATTGTAAGAATGAAATAAAATCGTGACAAACAAAGAATTTAATTATTTTTGCTAATAAAATATTGATTAAAAGTTAATTAATGAGGTTTTTTTTAATATTTTATGCTGACCAGTTGACCACACCATGATTGACCAATACCTATGCAACGCTTATAAATTAATCAATCAAGTTCAAATTATTCAATTTTTTTAATATTTTAACATTTAATTAAAATGAGTTTTTGATATTGCTAGAATTTATTTCATAGGTTAATATACAGAAGTGCAATAAATTATTGAATTTTCATAAAATTTGAAATTTAAATACGAATAAAAAATTAATTTTAACTGTAAAAATAAATTAAAATCGTAAAAGCTTATTTAATTATTTATGCTGATCAAATGACCAGTATCCATGAAATGAATAAAAATTAATCAATTAAGTTCAAATTATCTAATTTTTTTTTAATGAATTGATATTTTTCAATATTCTAACATTTAATTAAATTAAATTTTGACAATTCCGGCATCTATTTTGTAGTTTAGTATACAAAACCCTAACAAATTATTGAATTTTCATAAAATTTGATATTTAGATTTGAAATAAATATTAATTTCAATTGTAAGAATGAGTTAGAACAGTGGCAAGTTAAAAATTTAAATAATTTTGCAAATAATACATTGTTTAAAGCATAATTTTGAATGATTATTTTATTATTTATGCTGACCAAATGACCAGTATCCATGAAATGCGTAAAAATTAATCAATTAAGTTCAAATTATCTAATTTTTTTTTTTTTATGAATTGATATTTTTCAATATTGTAACATTTAATTTAATTAAAATTTGACAATTCCAGCATTTATTTTATAGTTTAATACGCAAAGCACTAATAAATTATTGAGTTTTCATAAAATTTATATTTAAATTTGAAATAAAAACTAATTTTAATTGTAAAAATAAATTAGAACAGTGACAAACTAAAAGTTCAATCAATTTCGCTAATCAAATATTGATTAACACTTAATTATTAAAGCTTATTTTATTATTTATGTTGCCAATTGACACATCGTAAATGACCAGTACTTATGCAACGCTTATAAATTAATCAATTAAGCTCAAAATATCAATTTGTTTTAAGGAATTGATATTTTTAAATATTTTAGCATTTAATTAAAATGATTTTTTGATATTGCTAGAATTTATTTTATAGTTTAATATACAAAACCCTAACAAATTATTGAATATTCATAAAATTTGATATTTAGATTTGAAGTAAAAATTAATTTCAATTGTAAGAATGAATTAAAACCGTGATAAATTAAAAATTTAATCAATTTCGCTAATCAAATATTGATTAAAACTTAATTTTCAAAGTTTATTTAATTATTTATGCTGACCAAATGACCAACCGTAAATGACCAGTATCCATGAAATGAATAAAAAATAATCAATTAAGTTCAAATTATCTAATTTTTTTTTTTGATGAATTGATATTTTTCAATATTCTAACATTTAATTAAATTAAATTTTGACAATTCCAGCATTTATTTTATAGTTTAATACGCAAAGCACTAATAAATTATTGAGTTTTCATAAAATTTAATATTTAAATTTGAAATATAAATTAATTTTAATTGTAAGAATGAATTAAAATCGTGAAAAATTAAAAATTTAATTAATTTTGCTAGTAAAATATTGATTAAAACTTAATTTTTAAAGTTTATTTTATTATTTATGCTGATCAAATGACCAACAGTAAATGACCAGTACCTGTGCAATGCATATAAATTAATCAATTAAAACCGTGATAATACGTAGATTTATTTTATAGTTTAATATACAATAAAAGCAACTAATTAAATTTTGATACACACACCGTAAATGGTTAGTTGCAATAAAAAGCAACTAAGTCACGATTATTAAGTATTTAATACATAAAAAACGTTAGTGTTTTTAAATAAATGATTTTAAAAAAATAAATTTTTTTTAAAAAAAAAATAAAGTTTTAAAGAAATAAATTTTAAAAAAAATAAGTGATTAGTATGTTATATATAAAAAACGTTAGTGTTTTTAAATAAATATTAACTAGGTCTTCTTTTGTCGTTTTCTTACTTGGTGAATTTCTTAAATATTTTAGCTGAAGCAACTTAAAAGCACGAAAATGGTGTAATTACAGCGCGTAACGCTGAAATAGCTTTGTTAAATAGCACACGAAAAAAGTTTGGTGATTATCGATAAAATTCGTTATAAGATGGCCACTTAACTACTCAACAAAAAAGATGCCAGTAAAAGTGAAAGTCAGCAACCAAAACAATAAATTCTTTAAAGAAAGGAGAAATATTTTCCTTTTTATCAATGAAGCAATTGACAATTGATATGAACAAAAGTGCAAGGTGGTAACTACGTTTACGTTACAGTGATAAAGTCAGTAGGAATTGGTATCAGTAATAAATTAGTAAAGTCATATTAAAATGTGTCTGAAACTTGACTTAAAAATTCTTTAATACTTAATAGGTAAGTAACTCATATTCATAAATAACAAGAAACCCATTTTATGCATTACAAGCTGAAGCAGAAAATTTCTCATTTGACAAAGTAGTAACTGATAAAAAAGATAATGCTAAAGCAAATTCTGGTGAGACAATATACCCAAACTTTTTTGAAATAGACTTTATTATCAACGAAAAGGAAATAGATTATCATGTGACTCGCATGTTAATTGAAAAAGCTAAGAAAGGTCATAATTTGGTGACACATGGGAAGATTATTATAGATCAATTTCTGATAATAAATGATTAACACACACAAAAATGTTTGAGTTAGGATGATCCTTATGGGATAGTATGACCTAATGAGGCCATTATAGGCGAATTAATCACTAATTGTAATGACGCTGGTATTTTAATAGACTAATTTTTAGCGATTCACTTAAAAGTTAGTTTGGGTTATGACCTTATGATTGCAAGAAAATGGTAAATATTCATTGTGATGGTACTAATTTTATAGCAGTGAGATCCAAAATCGTAACAGATGTAGAAGACCTTGATCCATCAGAAGTGCTTAAAGAAATGAGTAGGTCAGTTAGATGGTTCACTTGAGTTTGTGCTTGGAACTATTGCTCATTGTTTCTAAAGAAATGAGCGACCACTACAACAAGTGGCAGAAGTTTGCTCGATATTATTATTTTCCAAAAATTATGTGAAAAATCAGAATTTATTAAGAAGGAATACAGAATAGAAAATAATGTCGATAGTACTTTCGTGCTAGATAGAAGAGTAAAAGAACCTGCCGTTGCTAATAATAAAAAAGAAATAAGCTGAGCATAGCGAGTGGATTAGAAGGGGAATAGTTCAAAAGTATCTATTCTGCGCTGAACAGACACTTGAAGAAAACTATTGCGATGTAGCAAACAGCCCAATTAATGCACAAAAAATCATACAAAAACTAGCTGAAGTCTGTTGACCTCTAACCCCTTGATGCATATGAACGGTGTACCAATAATCCATCAGGTATATTTCTCATCAGATAAGCTAATCCGCTGTACTGCACCTTTGCTCTCACATAAGTGACAGCACCAAGCAATGCGACGGCTAATGGAATTATAAAAGAATGTGTACCATTATGATTAGCAAGTCATTACCACCTAGTATTATTGAAAAAACTGGATAACTTACTATTTACAAAAGTTAGAAATGTAGATTTCATGAGTTTTTCTCTTCCTATCTTGTCACAAAGTATTGCAACTAATATAGTCTGAAGAGATGGAATAAATCATCAGGAACGGGTGCAGAAGTAAGCAATAGTTTTGATGAAATAAAAGTTTATAGAGCAGAAAAAAGAAATACTAAAATATGTTGTGTCTCGGATTAAAGAAGATAAACAAGAGAATTTCCTAAAAGAGTTTGAACAAATACAAACAGATTTCTCAGAAAAAGCAAAGAGATTACCTTCCTTAGCAATGAAAAAGCTAAAGATATTAGCTATAGCAGACCTAAATCTAGCATTAACAAGTCAAAATCAGTATATGAAAATATGTTATAAGTCGAAATATCTGTACATGTTATACTAATAAAGAAAAATTCAGATAATAGTTTTGCATTTTATTATCCTAATTATGATGCACTTAACAGAAGAACAGCTGTTCTATGTGAGGTCATAACTCAATCATTTTATGGCTACGTAAGAATTATAACTCAATCATTTTATGGCTACGTAAGAATGAGCAAATTATATATTGCCGAGCTGTTTATCTCTTATTTAGCCTTAACCTCAGCAGTTGTTGCTAGAATTGCTGCACATTATAGGTATGAGAGCTTTTTGTAGAGAGCATAAGGCTGAATACAGATAAGTATGGTAGTGGTAGCAAATCAAAGAATATGACATAGCTATGACAATCGACCCACAAGTGAAAAGTATAACTGAGGAGAATTTAATTTTGGACAACGTTCATAACATATATGCGTCGAGCTAACCCATAACATGATCTTCTCATTTATTATACATCAGGTTTGTTCTAGATCATAATGGTTTGGCTTAATTTTTCAAATGTGAGCATGAGGTAAGTATCATATTAATAACGATACTTTATTAAATCTTAATATTTTTATATTATTGACTATATCAAGTATTTTTATATTATTGTCCATATATTTCTATAGTATATCATACTTAAGCAAAAAAGTTTTTATATAATACAAAATCTTTCGATAGAAACACTACGGCACATATTCCAATCTATTAAAAGAGATGCTATTACAACTTTCACCACAAAATGGTGGACGCACATTTTTAGCTGGAGGGTATAGCAAGGCAATACTGGAATCAGTTCATTGCAAAGTGTATGCGAATGACGGAGATAAAACTGTTATAAATTTTATGAGGATTTCAATATTAAGCACCCCAGCAGAGTAAAGCTATTTATTGAAAAATTTAGCAGTATAAGAAGTATATTAGATAGTACAGTAATAGCCTTGAATACCTTGGAGAGCTCTTTGCTGTCTCAAAACTTCCGTTATCTCTCCGGGATTCAGAAAAAAAATATATGGATTCCAGCATCAAGCACTGGAGTGACACCAAGTAATACTGCAGAGGGAGTTGTATTTGACATACAGTTTCATCTATGCAGCTTGATGACGGAGATAGAGGACTCTCATTTTTACGTGATGGTCCACTTGACGTGAGAATGGATAACGCTTCTCATAACACTTATTAACGCTTTACGCTTTACGCGAACAAACTGCAAACACTATACACTAACTATGGAGGAGAGCGTCATTCTCGTATTGCAAAAGCAGTAGTAAATGGACGGAAGAAAAAACTATCAAAACTATATCTGAGCTTGCAAATATTGTGCGTTCTGTGGTGTTTCGTGGAAAAAGTAAAACTGATCCTGCAACTAGGACATTTCAGGCTATTAGAGTATGAGTAAACGACGAACTGGGAGAACTTGAAAAGGGCATGAAAGCAGTATCTGAAAATTTAAATAAGAATGGCAAGTTAATAGTTGTCACTTCTCATTCTTTGGAAGATCGTATAGTCAAAACCTTTTTTAAAAGTTTATGTGAGCCAAGATTTATCGATTGTAAGGTATGAGCCATGATCTATCGATTGTAAGGTATGAGCCAAGATCTATCGATTGTAAGGTATGAGCCATGATCTGTCGATTGTAAGGTATGAGCCAAGATCTGTCGATTGTAAGGTATGAGCCATGATCTATCGATTGTAAATGCAAATCGACGCTAAGAGCTATGCAGAGGTTATCGTAAGAATAATTATGTTTCTTTTAATATTATAGACCTGTTTAAGATAAAATTACATGTTCAGTCATTAAATAAAGAGCTAATAGAAATAAGAAATGAAATTAGCTTAGTGTAAAGTGGCATAAGAGTTCTACAAGCAGAATGAGCTACTCGAATAATTGTAGAGCTTTGTAGAGCTTATGAAGGAGTATTTGAGAGATCTGTTCTGATCTGTTCACAATTACTCCTCATCCTGACTTCATCTCACCTAGTTATGATGATTTCATTGTCCACACTAATTTAGAGTCATCACTTGCCTCAAATTTGGATTCATTATGGAGAGATGCCAATGGAGAATTAAAAACGAATGATGATAAAGCACGATATCCTTCCATTAGAGGTGAGACTTTTGCTTCAAATATGTGAAAAGATAAGTGAACAACTTCTTGTGATCTAAGTTATTTAGATGCTCAAAGTGGGACTTCTTCGCCACTTAATGTCGACACCGATGACATTATCACGTATATGCACTTACCTGGTTCACAACAAAATGTCGTTCCGATCTATTTTCACCAACTTACTCTTTCCTCAGACGGTACATCCGGTCAACATGGAAATGCTGAACTGATCAACATGGACAATAAGCACTTCTCGGATAGCTTGAATGTCGCCGACTACAGGGAGAGTACCAATGAAGGATCAAAAACAGGTAATGACAAATTGCATAACGATTTTTCTTTCTACTTTTATAGTTTTTTTTTTACTTTCATTCAATCCATAAAATTAAACATATCTACCACACTAAAACAAAAAATCCACAATTATCGATCGAAATTCTAGAAGTAACTTAAAAGTAAAATTTTTACTTCAAATATGTGAGATGATATAGATAAACGCTTAGTACCTAAGATATTGAAATCTAAGTTATTTAGATGCTCAAAGTGGGACTTCTTCGCCACTTAATGTCGACACCGATGACATTATCACGTATATGCACTTACCTGGTTCACAACAAAATGTCGTTCCGATCTATTTTCACCAACTTACTCTTTCCTCAGACGGCACATCCGGTCAACAAGGAAATGCTGAAGAGAGCAACATCGATAACACATCAATGAAGGATCAAAAACAGGTCAATGAAGGATCAAAAACAGGTAATGATGAATTGCATAACGATTTTTCTCTCTATCTCTTATAGTTCTTCAGAACTATGAATAGTTCTTCACAATAACGAATCAAAAACCAAAACTCATTTCGTCGTTCAGAAGGCGACATTAAAAATACAATTATTGCTTAAAACATGTGAGAAGATAAGTAAATAACTACTTGTTACCTAAATTACTTAAAATATTCAATATGATATTGTTTTGTGCACTGACATTTTTGTGATTTCTCATATTACTTAACTACAAAATAGTATAATAGATTTACTGATTGCAAAAATGCATGTTTTGACATGAATTTTTCAGATAACAGAAAGTATATTTGTTATTATCCCGGGTGTACTGTGATCGCGACAAATTACAACGAATATATAACACATAGGAAAACACATGGTCAACCTATCATCTATCAATGCAGAGTGCCCGGTTGTGGGAGGACATTCAACCATAGAACATCATTTTGTAGTCACATACAAACGCATCAACCTAAGCATCAATGCAAAAATTGCGGCAAACTCTTCTGTAGGAATAATATACTGCAAAAACACAACAAGCACTGTGGCACACCACTTCGTTAGTATCACAAATTTTTTTTTAAACTTTTTTTTGAAAAACAATATTTAAAATCGTTCAATTTAAAATATAATGTATATGGAAATGTGGTTTAAAACATCGGTGACCATGGTATAGCAATATACAATTCAGAAAATGCTGCGACATTTTTCTAACCTCAGTGTCTTTTGTATATGACAAAAGTCCTGTGGCAGGCAGTCAGCATACAGTGACAACTGATTTTTTAATATCGCGACAGATTAATCTTTTTTTTTTTAAATAAATTACTTGTCCATTACTCGATTACTTGAAGTTGGGAGTACAAACAATGACGAAAACTAAACTTGATTCCGCCACAACAGAAAATTCACAATCATTTGTTGTGCTTTCCATTAGAAATATAGCATCAAAAGTAAAAAGTAATACCAAAAGTTTTGTTTCAAACATATAAGAAGATAAATAAACAGATTATTATGATTTAAGCAATTTGAAATGATAAAAAAAAATGATAATATGGTAAGATTATTTTATGCACTGATATTTTTATGATTTATCACATGGATTAATAATTGCAAAGACGAATATCATAAGAGTTTTTTAGACGAACGAAGCTACGAATGTGTCTATCGAGGATGTACTATGGTCACAAAAGATTACAATGAATATATAGCACATAGAAAAGCACATGGTCAACCCTTCATCTATGAATGTAAAGTGCCCGGTTGTGGACGGACATTCGATCGTAAACCATCATTTTACAATCACAAGCAAACGCATGAATATCATCATCAGTGCAAGTGCTGTGGCAAATTCTTTAGTACCAAAAATGGACTACAAAAACACAAGAAGAACTGCCCAACAAAATTTCGTTAGTTTGCAAATTTAGCAAATTTTTGAGCACTCATATTAGCCTAAAATAAAGTTGAAATGTGTTATGAAGCATCTGTAACCGTTGAGTGACAATACAACGGAAAAACTCAATTACATTTTTTGTTGTAGCTATACAAAAGATAATTAAACATCTTCTTGTGATTTAAATTATTTGAAATGGAATATAGTAAGATTATTTCATGGAAGTGATATTTTTATGGCTTATCAAATTACTCAATTAACCATAGTGGAATGTCAATTACAAAAACAAATGTGAATTTTTTTAGATAGACGAGGTTATGAATGCCTTTATTCTGGATGTGCTGTGATCTCGAAAAGTTTCAACGATAATCTAAAGCATAAAAAAACACACAATGAACCTTTTATTTATGAATGCAAAGTGTCCGGTTGTGGACGAACATTCAACCATGAATCATCGTTACGCGACCACAAGCAAACGCATGAACCTCCTCAGTGCAAGGACTGTGGCAAATTCTTTTGCCGTAGGACTGCATTAAATTTTCACAAGAAATCGTGTTCCAGAGCTCCTAGTTAGTTTTCCAAAGTTAACAAAACTTATGTGAGCCTAAGATAGAATGCACGTGAAATGTGTTATGAAAGATTTGTGACCGTTAAGTGACAATACAAAATTCATTAGACACATTCATTAAGATGCTATATATATATTTTCGCACTCAGTACTACTATCCAGGTCCTAAGAACCGCTTGCTTAAAAATGTGTTGACAGTGGTGACAATGGCGCTTCAATATACATCAATAAATATTGAAAATATCAACAGAGGAAAAATTATCCTTTCACTCTTAACCAAATTGCTTTATTTTTCTAATTCGTGGAATGTATGCAGAAAAGCATACTATTCTATCCACAAAGCCAAACTGCGACAAACTGCAATTATTATTAATATTTTTTTTTTTTTCGTTATAAAACTAAAAATTTTCATTCTAGAAAACGGGACACAATTTGGGCATTCTTCGCAAGCATGAGGAAAAGACGTAACAATCGGACGTTTTCGAGGCATCAGACTGCAGCGACCGATTAATGATTTCATTTTACCATTGGATTTTTTAAATATTTCTTCCCTATTTATTATTCCATGAATATCACAGAAATGCATAAATGTACTAATTGGCAATAATATTCGGAGGCAAGCATTTAAATGTACAAAATGCGCTCACAACTGAAATAAACGATTTGTCATACCAAAAGCTAATGTGAAAAAGCATCATAAATGAGAAAAAAGTATTTACCTAAAAATTTATAACAAACTTGGCATCGCGAAGTGGTTTTAAGCAAAGAAATGGTATTATAAGAAAAAAGCATACCACTTATAATTTAGCCTAAACCTTAACGTGTAAAATAGATGGCAGATATTATGTTTAATGGAAAAACTTCCCCGGGTATCCGACAGTAAAGAATTTTGTAAGTTAACCATTGAAAAGTGGATGTAGAAAAACATCAAAGATTTAAGATCTTCACAAAGACAATATTACTTTTCTATATATGAAAGGCACTGTTTCACATCTAATAAAGAAGGCGACAAAATCAACATTTATCATCAAAATCAAAATTGTCGTCAAAAAGAACAACAAATGTGCATTTACTCCAATAAAATATGCAATTCTTCATGTAATCATATCATATGGAAAAGGATTAGGATAACACTTGCATTTAAGCTTAGGGTTAGGCTTAGGATGATACCTATACTTACATACACATTAGATGCTGCAACATTTTTCTCGTCATTATCACTCACTCAGATGTATTAGCTGTCGATGACTAATGAATCATTTGCTTAAAAGGTTGACAATGGTGAAAGTGATGCTTCAATGATACATCAACAAATTTTGGAAATATCAATATAGAAATGAATACTCCTTGTCCTCTCGGCTAAATTGATAATTCATGAAGGATATGCATTCCATCTGCTAAGCCAAACTGCGACTGTTCATTTATTTTAGCTGAACAAAGTAGCACCTAAAAAATTTTTGTGATCAGTTTATGATCTGATTTTATTTTCATAGTTGTTTATAATTAATTATCATATTTATCACAGCTTAAAAAGAAGTAACTATTGACCCTTGAAAAATAAATGTAGCAGAATTACCGAAGATTTCAGATCTCCTTAAATACATAATGTGTCAAAGTTTTTTCCTTCTAATAAAGCATAATTTACCAATATTTGTGACTTAGCAAAAACCTAAATGTGAAGAAAAAAAATTTCCCTCAAAATATTTCCTCAATTAAACGACAAATTTCCGCTTAACTTTTCCCAATTTTCTAGCACTGAAAAATTTAAAAAAGTAAATGGCCAAGATTAAAATCTTTACAAAACGATTTATCTACGATGAGAATAAAGAGAAAATGATTAAGATAAGATATATACTAAGTGAAAATTTGCTCAAAAACTATTATTATTTTACAAATTGATAGAAAAGCCTAGCACTTAATACATCGAATCATTTTGCAATTTGTCTGCAGTCTACTAAATCGCTTATGATTCGACTCTGACACCTATCATGTCAACACACAATAATATTTTTTAGTCTACCACCGAATAAGTTTTTTGCTGTAACTGGCTTACCATTAATTACTCTTATGCTCTACATAGAAACAAAAAATGGTGCAATCGTAATTACGAAGTATTAAACAATGCTGAAGTAAGTAATCTTCCGATATCTTTAAGCCATATCTCGTGAAAATTATAATTCTATACATATTGGTAATTAAAGTAAATGGGTAAAATTCATTTGCAATTAAAAATTAAAAGAAAAACTAATTGCGAGCCAATTCATTTTTTTATTATTATTTACAAAGTACTCAAATCGCCAAAAGAGAAAAGAAGTGAATATTAAAAAAATATTACTTTGGTCATTCAAACAAATGCTGAAGTACTGATTGTTATACCCTATTTTAAATTACCTAGTATAATGAATAAATTAACCATTATCATACCCTTATACTTTTAATTGTTTGGTGACATAGTCTGGCAGCAAAATTAGCACTTAATCATCACAATAAAATTGGACGATAGATTTGAAAATTTATTCGTAATTTTTAACAAAAAACAAAATATCACAATAAATAGGAGCTAAATTCATCACTTCAAGCAGTAATGTATTATCAGTTAATTTTTGATTAAACAAACAAATATATTTTCAAATAATAATGGAATTACTGTTGCAAAAAAAAATCATGTGTATGGAATATTATTAACTTAATTATTAGGTAAAGAAATTAATTTAGAAGAACAGATGGGAAGAAAGATCATGGAATTAGATATGATCAATTAAAATGCCATTAAGCTACCAGGCAGTACCTAAGAATAAATGTTGGAAATAAGTCAACATATTTCCAATTGTCATTTAATTTACGTCACCAAAATTTAAAACTGAAACTTTTTTCAAAATACAAATAATTCATTCAATATTTTACTTACCTTCAATATACTATATTTTATTAAACAAAGCAGACAAATACTGCACAACTGATTAAATATTTCACCATACGATGACATTTAATCCCAGCTATTCATCAGTTGCCTTTATGCAAATGTTACTCCATTTTGTCAACCAAACTTCTAGAATTTGTTTCAAACATCAAACATTGCTTATGTTGAAATTCTTTCTGATAATAGCAGTGGATGTATGTCAAAAAGCAATAATTAGCAAATTTCAGGTGATGCTTCCATCCGATGAAGTTCCCATCGGTAATACTATCAATAGATGTGAAGATGCTACTTTATTAAATGAACCCATTAAACCATTATGATTAGAATCTCATTCATCAGGTCGTATTACTGAAATGATGGAACAATATCCTTCCTAAGTATCAGATTTACGTACGCGCTATTGTAACACTTCCTTCCGGATTCAAAAGAGCATTCATAAACCACCAGTTGGGCGAGAGAAAAGCGAGAATGTAAAAGAACAAAAAAAAAAAAAAAACGACAAACAATAGGCAGATTAAAAACTGTTTGAACCTTTGATCTTTAATTGAAATAAAAAGCTTTCATTTGAATATTTCTGTCATTTCACAAAATTGTGTTCCATCATGTTCATCACTGTATCTATAACACCAATTATCTGGTTCAATCTTCTACTTTGCATCGCTTCTGATAAAAATGAAACTTTCTATCCACCTAATTTCGGCGCTGCTGATGAAATTATTACAAATAATACTTATTCTGGTGTCTCAGATAGCTTTGATTACAACAACTTTGAACCATTATTTAGCTCAGAATTTCTGTTCGATCCTTCGCAATTCATTGATTTCGCTCAAGTGAGTGAAATTGAGGATATAAGCAGTAAAGAATCGAATTCTGAGACTGATCTGTTCACAATTACTCCTCATCCTGGCTTCATCTCACCTAGTTATGATGATTTCATTGTCCACACTAATTTGGAGTCATCACTTGCCTCAAATTTGGATTCATTATGGAGAGATGCCAATGGAGAATTAAAAACGAATGATGATAAAGCACGATATCCTTCCATTAGAGGTGAGACTTTTGCTTCAAATATGTGAAAAGATAAGTGAACAACTTCTTGTGATCTAAGTTATTTAGATGCTCAAAGTGGGACTTCTTCGCCACTTAATGTCGACACCGATGACATTATCACGTATATGCACTTACCTGGTTCACAACAAAATGTCGTTCCGATCTATTTTCACCAACTTACTCTTTCCTCAGACGGCACATCCGGTCAACAAGGAAATGCTGAACAGAGCAACATGGACAATAAGCACTTCTCGGATAACTTGAATGTCCCCAAGTACAGGGGAAATACCAATGAAGGATCAGAAACAAGTAATGACAAATTGCATAACGATTTTTCTTTCTACTTTTATAGTTTTTTTTTACTTTCATTCAATCCATAAAATTAAACATATCTACCACACTAAAACAAAAAATCCACAATTATCGATCGAAATTCTAGAAGTAACTTAAAAGTATAAATTTTACTTCAAATATGTGAGATGATATAGATAAACGCTTAGTACCTAAGATATTGAAATCTAAGTTATTTAGATGCTCAGAGTGGGACTTCTTCGCCACTTAATGTCGACACCGATGACATTATCACGTATATGCACTTACCTGGTTCACAACAAAATGTCGTTCCGATCTATTTTCACCAACTTACTCTTTCCTCAGACGATACATCCGGTCAACATGGAAATGCTGAAGAGAGCAACATCGATAACACATCAATGAAGGATCAAAAACAGGTCAATGAAGGATCAAAAACAGGTAATGATGAATTGCATAACGATTTTTCTCTCTATCTCTTATAGTTCTTCAGAACTATGAATAGTTCTTCACAATAACGAATCCTCCTTATTTCGTCGTTCAGAAGGCGACATTAAAAATACAATTATTGCTTAAAACATGTGAGAAGATAAGTAAATAACTACTTGTTACCTAAATTACTTAAAATATTCAATATGATATTGTTTTGTGCACTGACATTTTTGTGATTTCTCACATTACTTAACTACAAAATAGTATAATAGATTTACTGATTGCAAAAATGCATGTTTTGACATGAATTTTTCAGATAACAGAAAGTATATTTGTTATTATCCCGGGTGTACTGTGATCGCGACAAATTACAACGAATATATAACACATAGGAAAACACATGGTCAACCTCTCATCTATGAATGCAGAGTGCCCGGTTGTGGGAGGACATTCAACCATAGAACATCATTTCGCAGTCACAAGGAAACGCATGAACGTCATCGTCACTGCGAGTGCTGCGGCAAATTCTTCACCACCAGGAAGGGACTGCAATATCATACGATGAGTTGCAAAAGAAAACCTCGTTAGTTTGCAAATTCAGCAAAATTTTAAACATATGTGAGTCTGAAATGGAGTGCCTATGAAATGTATTATGGAACATCTGTGACTGCTGCACCGAGATACTTGATACAACGGAAAATTCGCAATTACATTTTGTTGCAAAGCTGTTGAAAAGACTTAAATTTATACTGCCATTTATATCCACTTCTTTTAGAGATAGCATACCTTCTAGCAGAAATTCCTTGAGAAAGTTAACCGTGAGCTTTGTTGTATATATCAGACATTGTAACTCTTTTTATAAGTAAGGCACTGCATCGCAGTGGTCTTCATGTGCATGCGTAATTATTATTCCAAGCAAATCTTTCTTCTCTTGAGCAATAAAACTTACATCAGCAATTAATAACTGGCATAGTTTCATCTGCAAAACCGATACCAAGGTCAGTCGTAATTCACTTGCCTTGATAATGATACAGGTTAACATTCATCTCAGTTCTATCCACCCCTCAAGAAATAAAATTCTTTAAATGTTTATGATATAAAAATTTTATAATCACTAATTTTAAATTATTAAATGGAGGGTAGCAAACTTCGGCTTTAAATAAA